GATGGGGAAGGCAGGGGGCTGGGGGAGAGAGAGGCCTCGGGGTTTCTGGACTGTCATCAAGCCACACCAACCCAGCATCCCACCTGTCCTGTTCCTCCTTTTCTGGGAGGTGAGTCAGGGGGACCTGGAGATGGAGCCTGTCCCTCTTTCCTAGAGGGACCACCCCCGGTGCACCCTGGAGTCCCACCACAGCCATTTTCCCAACCAAACGCAGGGAGCTGGAGGCATCTGGAACACCACACGTGGCTTTGAGTGGGAACAAGCCCCACAGCACTGGGTACTTTCCTTCTTGGCACTAGATTCCCCCAGTCTGGTTCAAGCATACCTCAACTTGCTCTAAAAACAGAATCTTTGAACAGAAATCCATGCTCATTTTTATATGGTCCTGTTCCAAATGGCTTCCACAATGCTTAGAGCCCCGAGCAGTCGGAGGTGTCCTTTGCCGTGTGAGGGGGATGGTCTAGTTGGGTTTTCCTGTGATGCACAGGGCTGTGGCCCTGTGAAGAGCTCCTAGAAGCAGCCGGGTCATCCCACTGTCTATTTGGTCTGAAACCCTGCGTTGTCACAACAGCCCCAGGAGGCCTCCAGTGCCCTGTTGGTACTAACGGGCGCCTTTCTCCAGCCTGGACTCGCCGCCAGCCCTGGGCTGTTTGGCAGGCAGAGGAGAGATGTCCACTCCTTCCTGCCAACGTCCGGGCGGCTCTGAGTCATGGAGATCCAGGGAGGCCTCCTGTGACCCTTCCCAATGGCCCTCAATCTGGACGCACTTCCCCACCCCAGAGATGGGCCAGCAGCACACCTAGAGCCAACATTTGCACTGTCTGGCAGTGGTGGGGAGAGAGGCACCATCAGCTACTACTCCAGAGAGCGTTGTCCTTCTGGCCAGGGATTTTTAAATTTTTAGTCTCTGCAAACACAGTCTTATCCTGAAACCAAATATGAGGCAGATGAAATGCTTGGCCCAGAGCAGAGAGGAGGGCCTGCGTGAGGCTGTCTGTGGTCCGGAGGAAGTCTCTGCTCAGTACCAGAGGGAGGTGGCCGAACGCCTCTCAGGGCACAGCTCCTGTGACCTCCCAGGGTCCCAGGAACTCCATGTGCAAACACTGCTCTCTCCCTTAGCTGTTCAGATCCTGGAAGCTTCCCAGCATCGTTGGCCTATCCCTGGTGCCTCTGGGATAAGGCACTTCTTTTCCATTAACTGAGGAGACTGGGTCAGCACACCAATTGCCCCTAATAAGTAAAAAGAAACAACCCAAAGGTCCATCCACGGATAAATATGGACAAAAAAATGTAATACAACCATACAGTTCAGCCTTAAAAAGAATGAAGTACTGATACAGACCGCAGCCTGAATGAGCCTTGCAGACATGACGCTAAGTGAAAGAAGCCAGACACAGAAGGCCACACAGTACATGATTTCATTTACGGTTTATTAAATGTCCAGAATAGGCAAATCTGTAGAGACAAACAGTATAGACTAGTGGTTGTCGGGGGATGCAAGGAGGTGGGAGTGGGTAGTGACTGCTAATGGGTACCAGATTTCTTCTTTGGGGTGATGAAAATATTCTGGAATTAGATGGTGGAGATGGTTGCACAACTCTGTGACTATACTAAAAACCACTGAACTGTACACTGTAACAGTGAAATTTGTGGTATGCAAATTATATCTCAATTTTTTTCAAAAGGGGAAACCCCCCCCAGACCCTGAGTCATCAGGCCAAGCTCAGCCCACTGGAGGCAGCCTGAGCACCCTCCCACCTGACGTGGCTGGCGGGGGCGGTGGGGGGGCTCTCCCTGCCTTTGAGTCAGCAAGGAGAACTTGCCGTGTCCCCCAGGGCTTGATATTTCTCAGATAATTGGCATATTGGAAGCTCTTATCAAACTGCTAAGTACTAACATTATCATCATTAGTAACAAGAATGCCAAATGCTCTTTATTGAAGGGAGGCTTTTATTCAAAAGACTATTTTTCAGCCCATTCTTCTATTTTTACAGAAAACCTTTCTAAACGGATGTGTTTTTGCTAATGTTTTCATGTGATTAATCTCCTAAGCCTTTTTATTGCTGTTTTTTCTCGGTAATCCTCGGGCGGGAAGCCTCGTAAGCAGTTTCCTGAGCAGAGGATGCAAATTGAGTTCAGGGTGGCCCAGTTGGGCACAGTCCTGGCGTGCCCTCCTGCCAACAGCACCTCTCTGCTGGCCCACCCCTTCCAGGTGCCAGGGAAGGCGACCTTGCTGGGGACAGAGAGACAGTGAATTAAGTCATTTTACAGGAAGATGAATAACTAGGGAGAGGAAAGGTTACTAAGGTTCCTCTGCTTACGCCTCAGGAAAGGTGGGGGAGCTGTTAGGTTCCTGGGACACCACATCCCAGGACGGCCAGTCTATGCGGCCGGTCCATGGCCCCAGGCCCTGGGAGCCCAGCCCTCTGTGCTGATGTCCCTGCTCTCTCGTCTCCCCCACTAACTGCTGCCCTCCTGGTGCCCGTCTTAAGCCACTTTTCTCTTTGGTGTTCCCTCTTCATCTCTTTCTTTTCCCTCCCCCAAGCTCCTCCAACATAACCCACGAAGAAACCCTGGGGCTGGGTTGGTTCTGCCGTCTTGGTGAATCTTTACTGAAGGCTTGATCTGGCTCTTGGGGGCTTGCTCCTGACCGGTGGCCCGGGGTACTCAGGAAGTCTCAGTGCCAAGCCTGGTCATGATTTCTTCCTGGGCATGGGTGACATGGGCCGGAATGCTCATGATACAGAAACGAGGCTCCTGCCCGCAGAATGGAGCCTGCAGTGAATGGTACCACAGAGAGGAGTGCACAGTTCACTCCGATGTTCTGGGGTCCTGTGCTTCACGTGGCCCCCATGCCATTCCTTCTCACCTTCTCGCCTCACTTCTTCTCGGGGCTTACAGCCCCCCTTCTAGCTGGTATGGAGGCTTTGTGTAAGTTAGAAAGTGGCTCCACTTTCTCAGGATGCTGTTCTGTCTTTTATTTGAAATTTTTATAATTACTATAAAAACCTATGATGGTTGCGTGTGAATAGCACCCCCTGGGGTTGTGCAGTGCACAATTTGCACAGTGGTAAATGTGGAGTCTGGACTTCGCTATTGGCCTTCTCCCTGCCGATGAATACCGTCACCTTTGGGAGATGAGGTATACGGTTGGAATTCAGTGAAAATGTGACTTGGGGCTGGGTTAGTTGAGATTTTCAGGTTTCCAGCTCCCCACTTCTACAGCTATGAAGGGTTGGCAATAATGAGTGAGTCAGGGAGCCCTGGCAAGAGTGTGCACTGCACTTTTACAGATGAGGGAGTGACCCCTGCACCCTCACCTGGGCGCACACTGGGTGTGCGCGCGCACACACACACACACACACACACACACCCCTACTGTTCTCCCGTGACCAGTGACCACTGCAGGGCCACCACGAAAGGCTCAGTTGAACACCCACAGAGGATGGGGAGAGGTCATTGATTATAATTCACACCCGAGGGCCTCTGGGATTGATGATCTGATACTACAGACGACCTTAGGGGCCATTTGCTTCCCTTCTTTAAAAATCGCTTCAAAATGTGTATAGAACTTTACACACACACACAAGTACAAGTAAAACAAAATCTACGTAAGATGGGTCAACTGTGTCAATGTCAATATCTTGGTAGTGATATTGTACTAAAGTTTTGCAATATATTACCACTGGGAAAACCTGGTACTATTTCTTACAACTGCATGTGAACCTACGATGACCGCAAATTTTCAATTAAGAAACCTTTCTCCGAGTCTCTGCTGGGGAGACGCCAGCCACGCCCCGCCCGTGGTCTCGGCACTCCTCCGTGTCACTGAGGTGCTCCACTGTCCCTGCAGCAGGCTGCCCCTCCCCTCCCACACCCGAGTTCTGCCCAGTGAGTCTAGACGCTCCCTCTGGTAGACCAGGTTTGCGACATCAAGGCTTAGACTCGGGCACACCTGCTGACATTTGGATTTGAGCAAAATCAGGCAGGCATCTCGTGTCCCCGCAGGGCCTTCATGTAGTGGTCGTGGAACACAGTCATCGCTGCTTCCTGTAATGACCAGTCGGTGCCCCTCTGCTCACTGATAAGCCCTTGCAGTTCTAGCGTGGACCATTGTAGGGGCCTCTTAACTGGTCCCCCTGCCTCACCAGGAAAACCATTCTAAAGTCAGACCTGGTAACTCCACTGCTTATAATTCCCTAATCACTGATGTCCAAGCTCCTGTTCATAGTACACAGACCCTTACAGCCTGATTCTGGGGACTGTCCTATAGTCCCATGTGTAAGCAGAAAACCAAAAAGGGGTCAGGCAGCCCTGGGTCCCCCTGCTGTCTGCCGCACTCGTGGCTTCTCGAGTGGGCATACACATTCGTCCCCCATTGGATAGGCCGGCTCCGCTGATTCTCCACAACTCGGACTCACATCGGGGTGACCTCAGCACTCCCAGTTCCTCAGGANGCGGACTCACATTGGGGTGACCTCAGCACTCCCAGTTCCTCAGGATCTCTCCGTTCCCGACGCCCACCACATTTAACTGTGGTGTCTGCCCCTGATCAGATTCTTGAAACAGAATCTGGATCGGTTTGGGTCAGATGCGTCCCCCAGGTCTGCTCAGCTGTGGCCAGGGGTCAGAGTCAAGCGCCTCGTCCCAGTCATTCAGCAGAGCTCCAGGATGGGAGGGAGCTGCTCACGAAGAAAGGGATGTAGCGAGGCCGCCTGCGTGTCTGTCGCAGCCCCCACCTGACCCCCCGGCCCTCCTGCCGCTCCTCCATTCCCGTCCATCCTAACCCTCCGGCCTGCCCCCAGCCCCCCTTTGATGGCCAGCGTCACACCTGTGCGTGAGCTGTGTGCCCTCCCACCCTCCTTCCTGCCTGCCTCCTTCCCTTCCCTACAGCGGGATCTATGAGTCATTTTCTACCTCTGGGAAACTCCCTGATTTCCAGGGGTGACCTAACACTCCTCCCATGTTTCTGCGGTGCCTGGTGCATACTCCGTGAGAGGGCTCATCACGCATCCGTCGTTGCGGGTTTTCACGCCCGTGCTCTGACTGGGATGTGAGCACCTGGAGGGTTAGGGTTAGGTCTCTACGCCTTGGCTCCCGGCTCGTTATGGCTGCTGGCAAGATAGCGGCTTGGCAGGTGTTAAGTGGGTGGGTGTGTGAATGAGTGAATGAGTGAATGAGTGAATGAACACAGCCCTCCTCTGTCCTCAGACACCGGGAGGCCCGAATGCATGGCGTGGGTCTAGGTGGGCGCGATGGGAGCTGCTTGCTCACCGGTGCCACTGTGTGCTTCCTCTGCAGACGGGGTTGACCGGACCTCCACAATCTAGAGCTGAAGATGGGAGACCGCGCTGGCCGTGAAACCGACTGCTGCGGGTCCAGTGTCAGCCGTCTTCAGGGCTGCGCAGAATCCTCCAAGATCCTCTGCAGCCTCCTCCCGGTCCCTCTCCCACTCTGATTTTGTGAGAGCGTAGGTCATCCTTGTAAACATATCGGTAGACCTGGACTGGTTATTCTGTCATTTGTTTCTGTCTTGGGATGGCTTGGTGTCGGGTGGGGAGGGGTCTTTGGGGAATCGTGGGACT